ATTATAGCCATGACATTGCATGCTTTCCTCATCGTTAGAGCCATAATCTATGAATATTTATGTACACGATACTCTTCCTTCTCTTTTTTATTTGAGGATTTTTTGTTGTTGTTAGTAGATATAAACTTCTCATGGGGCTTGGTGATATTTATATAGTGGGTTCTTGGATCTATTTTTAGACATCCTCGTCTGTTTCTTAAGGAATTAGTTAACAATGGTTGGAGGGCTTTCTTCAGTTTCTTGTTTTCGAAATTTTTGGACGTGAGTGAGTTATCATAAAAATGGCTGTCATCTTATTGTAGTTGATAACTTCAAAACTGCAACTCAATTTTCTAAAATCAACTGTGTTGGTTTAATATAAGTGTTAGCCAAATCTAATAATAATATAGTTGTCCAACAAAATCTGTTGTGAGCAAGACTGAGAAGCACTCCGAGGAGAATCCTCAAGACCCGCCATCTGACGGGACTGCCGAGGAGCAATCGGACTTCACATTACCACTTATCAAAACCACTGAGATCGTCGTATCTCATGTTAGCCCCGCTAATATCCCTCTTCCGGAATCATCGGACCCTAGTCGCCACCACAAAACGGTACCTTTTATCACAACTCCATGTATGGACTCCTTTCAAAATACCCCTTCTCCGCATGATCCAGACCTTGCGTCGCCTACTTCCACCAAATCGATTCACCTTAACCACATAAATGGAAATACTACTTGTCCAAAATTCCGTTTTGACTCAGATGAAGAACTAGTGGCAGAATCACAAAGAATTCTACAAACTCGTTCCTCCACTGCTGGTAAAGTCCAAGGAGATCAGCGTGTTCTACGTCCTCGTGCTGTCAACATACCTCTCGATCCCATGGATTTCACACTGGTCGGAAAAGTTCGAAAGGGAAAAGGTAGACTTTAGTGTCTCTTACCATCCAACATGGAACACTTGCGACCCACGTTGCATACCATTTCTAGTGCTCACTTTACGATGACTTACTATTTAACTTTCAATCTTTTTAGTTTATTATTCTGATTTGCTATTATGAATTCTAATTATGAATTCTAATATATGTATTACCTTTTGTAATATCTTTTGTACGGTCATTTACATATATAATATTTACCATTAATAATAATATAGTAGTCGTTCAACTACCTTTGGTTCCTATCATTAAATAAATTTCAAAAAATATGTTTTCGTTCCGTAACTCTACATAATACGGGAGTTTATACCAAGTAAAGGATCTACATTTCATTTTTGTATTGTCATATAATATATGGTGTATTTTAATCGAAGCTCTATAGTGGATTAGATATAATTTGTTTCAATCAAATTAAACTAATTCAAACTCCGTAAGAAAATAATCTGAAACCGAAATATAAATATTTAAAAAAAACGGATACTATTTTTAGTAAAAATAAATTTGAAACGAACCCTGATCGAATCCAAAACCAACTAAAAATAGATTATAGTTTTTAGGGTTGATGATCTCATAGAAAATCTCGAACATGCCCGACTCTGGAAAACAAATTCCGAAATTTGCAAACTCCCATAAAAATTAGCCAACTTGAAAAATTTTCCATTGGAATATCTAATCCCTTTCTATATATTATGCAGAAAGTGATTGTGTCAAATACTTATTATCATGAATACGGAATTTTCCTTTTGCATTTTGATGAATTGTGTGATAAATGTTGAATGATATATTGTCTTTACAGTTCTGTATATTAAGATGAACATCTATTTGTGAGGCACAATAGATTATTATTACAATGGAATTTTGCGATATTGTAATGGTGTATATTAAAAATAAATAATAATTTTTTAATCCAATAATATTTACAAAAATTAATACCGTGGAGAAGGGCTTCATGAGTGACACAACACAAGCAATATTCACCAATGTATCAACTTTGGGATAATGCATTTGAAGGTAGAAGGTCCGATTATAAGGGACTTCTAATATACGTCCATCTTCTTTGACCATTAGATTAATTACTCGTATTTATATTAAAATAATTTTATCCACAAGCATATTGTCTTCACTTCAAATCATCCACAAATTCAAATCGCGGTCATGTTTGTAATCAATCATAATTTTATAATGCAAAGTCATGTAAGAATAAACCAGTATAGCCTTCTATTCTCCACCGGACTTCAAATCTTATAATGTTAGAATTGGACGGAGATAAATCAATATTATATAATTAAATTAAAACAGGAAAGTAAATAATATTGGGATATCTCATCCACTGACAAACCGTAGAAAAATGTATACCGTTATCAAAGAATTATAATATTTCTCTCGAAAAAAATACAATATTCTTCATGAATTTATGATATGACATGTGATTGGACCATAAATCTCATAATTTTATTGCTCAATATAACAAATGCAACAATGAAAAAAGAATAATCATAATAATAATGGATATAAGAAAATAAATATTTCAATTATTCATATGGCAGAAACCAAATATTAATGATCATTTAATTGCAGGAAATGTATTTGCAGAAGAAAGAGAGATAACCCTCTGGGGGGTTTCCACCACTTGGAGGCATAATGTAAGCTTTTTGATGGTTAGGATGGAGGCAGAATTCCGTGCATGGCCTCTCACATAATTTATGAGTTGCATGCTTTGATATTCTCGTACATATGTTCGGAACGCAATGCGTAACGCATTTCTTTACCGTCTCCGTATTGCAATGACCCATCTCCACCGCCATGACCATCATTATCATCGCCATGATGGCCATGACATTGCATGTTTTCTTCATCGTTAGAGCCATATATAATCAATGTGTATATATATACGCGATCTTGTTCTTCTGTCTTTTTTTTTTTTTTTTGTTATTGGATATAAATTCCTCTTGGGGTTTGGTGGTTTATATATTGTTGGTTCTTACATCTATTTTAAGACATCCTCGTATGCATAGTCTGGTTTTTACACGTTATCTTTAGGAATTAGCCAATAATGGTTGAAGGATTTTCTTCTGTAAATGTTTTGGACTTGATTTATCAAAAAATGGTTATCTCCTGATAGCAGTTAAAAACTTCAAAGAATACAACTAAATTTTCTAAAATTAATTATTTGTTTGACTATTTTGTATTCGCATGAGTTATCAAAAAATGGTCATCTGTTTACGGATCTTGGTATATTTTCGTCGCCTCAACTTATTTTGTCGAAAAAATACCGCAATCACAGTCGTCGATATTTTGCTGAAGTCTCTCAGCACACTTAACCTCGAGCATATATATCGCCTTCCGAGAATAAGTCAGACCCGGCAACGAGGAACATCTTAGGTATTAAGCGAACTAGCTTATAAACTATGAAATCTACATTCTCCTGTAACCTCGTTTGGCAGTTTCAGATAACCTGGGACTTATGTTACTTATGTGACTGCAACTCATATGATTTGTGTTCCATATGACTTGTGACCCATGTGACCTATTACTAGGGAAGTCAGAAAAGTCCGAGGCTCGATATCTAGTCTGAACCCGCCGGTAAAATTTAAGGGCTTGGGTTTCGAAAATCAAGGCCCATTCGTTCATCGGGTCGGGATGGACGGGCCAAAAACGGGTTCGGACCGGATCGACCCGTAGACCCGATTAAAATATAAATTATATATATATATACACATATATATATATATTCACACACATTTAATCATGTGTATATATATATGTATATATATGTATATACATTTTTAAATCTTATATATACATATATAGATAAAATATATATACATGCATATATAAGAAAAATATAAAAATATTATACAATATAGAGATTTATACAAAAATTAAAAACTTGTAATGCTAAATAATTTAGGATGTAATATTTTATAGATGATATAATCAAAATTACAATACCATTAGTTTAAAAATTATTATTCTAATTAAAAAATAATATTTTAAATTTTTAAAATTTTTAACCATATTAAATTAAATAATTTTAATTTTAATTTATATTAAATAAAAAATAACTTTTTATCAAACTTTTGTCTTTTTATTATCGCGAAATATATTATATTTTTTTTGTATTTTATTATCTTAATTTATTTTATAATTTTATTTTATAAAAAAATTAATTTTCAAGTCTGAAACTTAGCCCGAATCCCAAAAAAACTCATAGGGCCAGGCTCTAGGCCAAATATTTTAGGCCCGCTCATGTTTCGGGTCCAACAGCCCCGACCCGTAAATATTCGAGCTTATGTCGGATTTGACCCTATTATTTTGACACCCTTATCTGTGACATATAACTCGTATAACCTATGACTCGTGGGTTACATTGGTCACAAAGGTTACAAATAGTTAGATGGGTCACATGATCGATATGATCATCATGAATCTCACCTTCAACAATGTCTTTGTTTTTTAATACCATCAAATATGATTCGATTGCACCCGTATGACTCATGTGACCTTGTAATTCATGTAATCTTGTGACCTATATGACCTTGCGACCCGTAAGATTCGTATGACTCATATGACACACTTATCGATTATTTTTTCTTGTATTTTCATAATTTAAAATAAATACTTTTAATTTAGAAATTTAAAAACTCTAATTTTATCTAGAACTTTATATAAACTTACCAACGCCAAATTTCAAAATATAAAATCAATATTCATATTAATTTATACAGAGGGGTATGTGATGAAGTTCAAATAGTATTCAAAGAGTATTGGTGATATATCCCCTCTCGAGATCCCCAAACTCTAATTCTTTTTTATATATGAAGAAAGTAATTGTGTCAAATACTTATTATCATTAAACCTAAATGATTGACATAGATAATTCACGATCTTTGTTTCTTAATTAATGGTCAGGGTTCGAACCCTATTATAGAAATGAAAATAGAGCAATCCTTTAAGTCAGTGTTTTGAATCATAGACGAACGAAGATTAGTCTAAATATGTAGGGGTTAAAGGTGCGGGTCATAGTTGAACGTCATTGAGGACACCTCGTATTCTATAAAAAAAAAATACTTATATTATCATGAAGACAGAAACTTCCTTTTGCATTTTGATGAATTTTCCTCAGCATAACAAATACAACAATGACAAAAAGAAAAGAATAAAGATAATATCCATACAAAATCATGATTAATATATAATCATAATTTCAGTTGTTCATATTGCAGAAACCAAACATTGATGATCATTTAATGGCAGGAAATGTATTTGCAGAAGAAAGAGAGAAAACCCTCTGGGGGGTTTCCACCAATTGGAGGCATAATGTAATCTTTTTGGCGATTAGGATGGAGGCAGAGTTCCGTGCATGGCCTCTCACATAATTTATCAGTTGCATGCTTTGATATTCTCATACATACGTTCGGGACGCAATGCGTAACGCATTTCTCTACCGTCTCCGTATTGCAATGACCCATCTCCACCGCCATAACCATCATTATCATCGCCATGATGGCCATGACATTGCATGTTTTCTTCATCGTTAGAGCCATATATATATAATCAATGTATATATGTACACACGATACTCTTCTTCTCTTTTGTATTTGTTATTGGATATAAACTTCTCGTGGGGTTCGGTGATGTTTATATAATTGGTTCTTGGATCTATTTTAAGACATCCTCTATGCAAGGTCTGGTTTTTACACATGTCGTCTTTAGGAATTAGTCAATAATGGTTGAAGGGTTTTCTTCTGTTTCTTGTTTTCGAAATTTTTTGGACTTGATTTAACAAAAAATAATTATCTCCTTATAGCATATAACTACTTCAAAGAATACAGCTAAATTTTCTAAAATTAGCTCTCTGTTGGACTGTTTTTTATTCACATGAGTGTAACATATCTCATCCTTATGCTACCCTTTGATCCTATCATTATATAACTTTTCAAGAAATATTTTTCCTTTGGTATATAGTTCTGATTCTGCAGAACAACAACAAGAGGGTATGTGAAAGTATAGAGTCTACATTTCGTTTTGGTGTATAAAACCAAAATTATACAATAATATATAATTGTAAATTAATCGAATATTATTTTTTATATGAAATTTTACCACTATGTTGAGATATCAATGCAAAATCTTTTAAAAAATTTGTACATTGGTTTCTCTATCAAATCAAATACAAAATTAAATAAATATATATATATATATATATATAATAAATTTATTAGTATGATAAATACATAGAAATAAATGAATAAAAAATAATAATTGTTTAAAATAAATATTATAACATTTATCTTTTTTTAAATGTTTTTTTTTTAGTTTTTTGTATTTGATTATGATTTTAATATTGTTGATTTCAATTTTTTTGTATTTGATTATGATTGAATTGATGATGATTAAGAGAAAAAAGAAAAGTTTGAAGATGGAAAATCATTAAGAAAAAAATGAAAGAAACATGATAGCCCTTTTTTCATATTTAATTTCCTTGTTACATTTAGGAAAGAGTTCATATATTTATTTAGAAATTTAAAGTTTGTGTATTTATTTTGAATTTTTTACAAGTTTGTTCGTGCATTAATATGTATTTTCCCTTTAATTTATCTTTTAACCGGATAGTTTGAGTTTGACTAATTTCTCCGAGACCTTTTTGGAAATCAGTTTTTACAATTTTGTTTATTTATATTTAGCGGATGTAATAATCCCCCGATTGTGAATTAACCTCATTTTGAAAATCCCGAAATAAATTGTTTTCTTGTAAAAATAACACATAATTTTATAAACTTTCAAGAACAGTTGAAATGAGTTTGATAGATGTTGAAATAGGAAAATGAATATGTGATTGGAGGAAAATCTAGATTTTGGAGGAACACAATATTATGTTAAATATTGTGAATCGTATTTATTTCCGTTATATTTATATTCTGCAAAAAGAATTTTACAATTTTGTTTATTTATATTTAGCGGATGTAATAATCCCCCGATTGTGAATTAACCTCATTTTGAAAATCCCGAAATAAATTGTTTTCTTGTAAAAATAACACATAATTTTATAAACTTTCAAGAACAGTTGAAATGAGTTTGATAGATGTTGAAATAGGAAAATGAATATGTGATTGGAGGAAAATCTAGATTTTGGAGGAACACAATATTATGTTAAATATTGTGAATCGTATTTATTTCCGTTATATTTATATTCTGCAAAAAGAAAATATAGATATAACGGAAATAAATATGATTCACAATATTTAACATAATATTGTGTTCCTCCGAAATCTAGATTTTCCTCCAATCACATATTCATTTTCCTACTTCAACAATAGTTTCCATCAGAATATTGTCGTTTGGTCATTCCTTCATATGTTACTTCAAAGTTTACACACACATATATATATATATATACATATAAAATTTTAAGCTAGTATATAGTATTGTCCTAAGATGAAATAAATTAATTCCTGCAAATGCAAATTTATTTTAGGATTATTAATTAGGAAATCCTTTTTTTTTACCCGAACCTGCCGCTATCATCAGTCAATGGTTATTTACATAAATTGGAATTTAATTAATTTATTTTAGGAATGATAGTTATTGCTTCAAAGAACATGATTAGCTGTGATTTTTAAATTAGGATTAAAAAAATTTCGTAACTATAACTTTATTCAGCCTGCAACAGACTTTTTGTTGGCAAAATTGCGTAATCCACGCAAAAATTTTGATTTTTTGACTGTTTTTTAATAGATATTGGAAGAATTATTTAAGATATATGATTATTTCGGAAAACTTTGACTGTTTTTTTTATAGATGTTGATTCTTTACTGTTTTTGACTGATTTTTTTTACTATTATCTAATATAAATGTTTTAAAATAAAATCTAAATATATTAATATTATGGATATTTTTTCGGAAACCTTTTACATCTTTGTCTAGTTTGGTCATTATCAAAAATATCTTTACTTTCCTATTTTGACTTCAACACATATCTTTCTCTACCTATGACCATGTGATCCATGCGACCCCAAATATAGTGTGGTCATATTTTGATCTTATTGCTCATAATGTTAAATTTATGATGTTTTAATCAAATAATTAGTAAGATATACAATGTATGAATATAATGAATTAGTGTGATCACCATAAATTTAAAGTTATAATCAATAAAATCAAAATGTGACTACATTATATTTTGGGTCATATGGGTCACATGGTCACAGTTAAAAAATAGTATGTGTTGAAGTAAAAATAGCAAAGTAATGGTATTTTTTATATAATGCCGATTAAATAATATATATATATATATTGACTATTTATCGAACTATATATTTTTCACGACAACACGATACGTGTGTATATATATATAAAGATATGAAACAATCACATGGATACATGTGAATATAGATGATACACGGCAGCATGATACATGTGTGAGGATATATAAAACAATCACATCGAATATTTATAATAAACTCCAGGAACATTGGAGAAATTCATAAGAAGAGAATTAATTAGCAAAACATGTAAAGGCAGATGTGATTGGAGACACGTTCCGGAATGGGACCACCCGGCAAGGGCAGGCCGAAGTGCTTGGGGTGTCTGCATATATCAGTGCATGGCTTCTTGCACGCTCCATACGTCGCCATTTTCGTCACGCTTCTGCATATTCTCTCTATGCAATGGTTGACGCAGCCTTGAAACGCTCTCTCTCTCCCCAAATCTCTCTTTGGTGGCGGGGGCGGTGTTGGTGATGATGATGATGATGATGATGATGATGAGTGACCCATCTCCACCAACATTAGCATTGCCACCAATGCTACGATTGTTACCACCTTGCTTGTTTTCTTCATTGCTAGAGCCATGTTTCTTCTTCTTTTTTTTTTAATTATGGATTGATTTGTATTTTTTTTTATTTTTTGGAAATGGGTAATTCAGATTATTTATAGTTTCTTGATTTCTATATTAAGGCGTTTTCAGACATGCATTGTTTTGACTTTTACACATAATATTTGTTGTAAGATATGTTGATGGTTTTTCTGTTTCTTGTTTCAATTTTTTTTTTTTTAATTTGATGTTCAACAACTTATTGTTATGATGAATATACCATTAATCTTTTTCTGCTTGTACGCATATGGTAAGGGTCGATATTTCGATTGTATATTATTAAATCAAAATAAATACTATATATTTATATCAAATTAAAACTAATATAGAAATTGACCGGTTATAAGTTTTCAAAAATCAAGTTAAGAGGATTTGTAAATATCTATTTTTTTAAAAGTAAGTATTTTTCTTAATAAATATGGAATTCAAACACACCCAAGTCCAACATTAAATTCGAATAGAAATAATTTTTCAGAATGGAATCAAAAATTTTTTATTGAACGCTAAAAATATGTTGTTGGGTTTAAGGCAGCAGAGTAAAAGTCAAGATTCCCACAGATTTCCGTCTCATCGAAATAAAATTTGAAATATATACACAAACATTTGATTTAATGTAATTTGAAAATGTTGTGATGAAGTATGTTTCTAATTGGGGCATTATCCAAAATACTATTCTTTTGCTAAAACTATTTTTACAAATACCGTCTTCTAGATGCGATTATGTTATTGTATGGTCACATGATGATCACATTGGACATAACGTTAAATTTATGGTGATCACACCAAATCACCATGATCACACTTTATATATCACACTAATCATTTGGTGAAATCATAAAAAATTTAACATTATAACCAATATGATTATCATGTAGCTATATCGTTATTTTGGTCATATAGTCATATCTGGAGGAATGTACGTAAAGTTTAGCAAAAAAAGGTATTTTAGATATTTTGCATTTCTAACCACACCATCAAACTTCTTTACGAATTCTAATTGGAAATCGTGTTTTATTCTGAATATTAAATAGGAATTAAATAATATTTTAAAAATAAGGAATTGAATATTTTATTTATTCAAAAGTATATAAAATTGTTTTTTTGGGATTTAAATACTATATATGATCAGGGGTTATTCTTTTCCTTATAATATCGTCCAAACGGGTCCAAATGGCCGAGGCTTGGCTCGGCTCATTAATTGAATTTTACTTTCGGCCCAATCCTTGATTCATGAATATCTAGAATTCAAATTTCCGACAAATAATTTAAAATTTTCGGATATACCGAATGCCCAAAAAAAACTTGAAGATAGAAGAACTAAAAATTTTATGGGTTAAAAAAAAGATAAAGAGAGAAAGGAATATCACTTGCAAAGATAGAGACGAGAAATGAAACTTGAGACTATGAATAATATAATTTTATTTAAGGAAATCTCATATAAGTATTCTAATTTTACAAATATGCTAAATAAATATATAAATTTTTAATTTGATATCAATTGTTAAACTGTTTCAAATTAATATCACAAATGTTAAAATGTTTAAAATGGATACCCAACTCCAAAAATTGATATGAGAGAGTAATTTTTAATATAAAAACGAACAAATTTGTAAATTGTTTTTGATTTCGTGAGTTAGAGTATTAATTTAGAATATTTTAACATTTTAGATATCAATTTAGAATATTTTAATATTTGAAGTATCAATTAAATTAGATTGAACGTTTATGTATTTATTCGTCCTATTTTGCAAAATGGAGTTATTTTTGTAAATGCTATGAAATACAATGGAGTTTTGCTAATTGGATTGATTAGGAATTTTGAAAAGGTCAAAAGTAATAGAATTCGATTATCGTCAAGGAAGGAGAGAAGAAAGAAAGAGCATGAATGCATGCATGTGTTTGAGAGGAAGCACATGCACGTCAATAGATGGAGCAGCCTTTATGTCACTGTCGATAGCCCCACCCACCACCTTCCCATACTTCACTTTATAGTTAATTTCCATTCCGAATTATTAAATCAGATGCACTTTATAGTTAATTTCCCTCTCACATTTTATATGTCATAATTTAGCCTTTTTTTTCTAATATATATGAACTACCCTAACAAAAACATTCTCATATAAGTACCTCAACTTTTTAAAATATACCAAATAAATACCTAAATTTTTAGTTTGATCTAATTTGTACTTCAAATGTTAAAATGTTCCAAATTGATATCCAAATGTTAAATTTTTCTAAATTGATACTCCAACATATGAAATCTAACAATTCTCAACATTAACCTTGACGATGATTTTCAACTTCAAAAACAAATCAAGGGTGTAAATTGTCATCGCTTTTGTGGGTTATGGTATGAATTTGAGATTCCAATTTAAAACATTTAAATAATTGAGGTATTATGATTTAACGACCGGTACAGATCAGTTTGGATTATTTATTTTTTTTACGTGATTCAACTTGTGTTTGTCATGGTTTTCTCGGTTTAAATAACCGGTTTAGGTATGTTTAATTTGGTTTAACATAGTTTACTTGAAAAAATATATACAAACATTAATCCTTTCTAGTTAATCAATTAACAAAACCATAGGAAACAGAAAACTTTTCTCCATTTGAATCTCATAAATTAATAAATTATTCGATTCGAGAGGTAAAATTTCCGAACGTGATCATAATAACAACATCAATGATCAAAGTCTTTGGATAATGTTTTTATGTTACAAGACAAGTGAAAAAGACATGGACATAGCATGCAACCCAAACACATATCCATAAGCTTATATACGTAACCTCCTCCCACGTATGTGTGTGTGTATATATATATATATATATATATATTGTGTGTGTGTGTGTGTGTAATAATGACATTGATATTAGTTATGGCTTCTTGCTTATTATGAGAAACCGTCCAAACAAATCCTTACAATTTCAGCCGTATCCGTCTTTTTTGTTCCTTTCTTTTTTGTCACTTGGCCGATGTTTCTATATGGTCAGCCTGAACATGTCACATTCCATACGTTGCAAATGAGAAAATGCGACTAAATTCCTAATCGATCCATGAGATTTAAAGAAGGATTTGAAAGAATCAAAACGAGTCTAAATCGTGAGAATGTCGATACGTGAAAAGTTTTAGAGAGACTTAAATGAAATATCTTCTGTCTATAAATAACAATTTATCATATAGTTGATGGGTTTTTTATAAATTCATCGGAATTGCTCATTGTAAAATATGATATAAATTATTTGCATGTATTACGTAGAAAGACTTTTTTCTCAAATCAGGACCCCATGCACGTGTGACCAACCTTATCCACACGCTTTTTTTTTTATAAAAAAAAAATCCCTTCTACTTGAAAATTCAATTACCCGAAAGATTTGATTCTTTTTTTTTTCTTTGGTATTCGAATAAATTAGATTTTCTTTTATGCTTTCTGAAATTTCTACTAGGATTATTATATGATACGTATATGTATTTGTTGATCGTTATGTTGTTTTCTACTTTTATTAATCTTTTTTCTTAACCACTCTATATACCGACATTTCAAAATCTAAACTCAAAGATCGAATATTTGTTATCGTCGGATCCATATTCATTCCGTCGACAAAACAAATACTCAAATAAATTGATTTTCAAATTTCTCATATATCCCTAATATATTATTTTATACTTTTTATTTATCGTTTTGTAAATATGGTTCCCAAGATACATTTTTTACTTTTATTATATTTTCCATATCCATCCTATTGATAAACAAATACTCAAATAAATTGATATTCAAATTTCTCATATATATCCCTAATATGTTATTTTATACTCTTTTATCATTTTGTAATATACGTTTTATATCTCTTTTTATCGATTGAACTATCCAAATTAAGTTTTAAAATATATATTTTAATTATTTTTATTATATTTTCTTGTGCAACCAAACAATAAGCGGTCCCGATTCCCATGAGATTGAAACATGGAAGTTACAAAGCTTAGTCAAAAAGCAATTCCCTTTTTATTTAGATTGAAAATGTGGTAAAGGGACTCGGAAGATATTTTGAATGGACAATGACTAAGGCGTGTTTTCATTCCCAAAGTCACAAAAAGTGATCAGAGCCTTCGGTCCCCATCCCCCATACCAACCTGAGAATTCCCGGTTTGGTTAACCGAACACCCGACCAAACTATTTGTCCAAACGTATATTTGAATCGATATAAACCGGATTAGAGTATTGCCGCAATGGTTTGGTCGTAGGTACTTTGTTTGTTGCAGAGAAGAACACCAAAAAAGCATACGGGAGGGGTTTCGGTACTGTTATACCAATCCGGTTTAGTGTTAAACCGGTGAGCATGAGTGATGTAACCCAACACCAAACCAATTAGTGATATGGAAACCTCTTTACCAAAAAAATTGACCCATCAATTGCTCAGAAAAAAAAGGCTGACTAATACCCAATCAAAAGCCTTTTTCTCTTGTCGTCTTTTCATATTTTGTCGGTTTTCTCGATCGTCATATATCCCCACACCCATGTGAGGTTCCTCTCATATCGTATCTTTTTTTTTTCCTATGAGAAGAAATCCGTAAAAAAAAATATTTATAACGAATTAATGGTTTAAACAGGAATTTTTTTAAAAAAATATATATTTCATTTAATAAACAATAAAAATAAAGCATTAACAGTAATAGGGTTGGCCAGCAATGGCCATCACACCTTAATAGGAAAAAAAAAGCCCATACAACATGCATAACACGACCAAATAAAAAAAAATACATATCCAGATTAATTATAATAAAAAAAAAAAGAAAGAAAGGGAGATTGTGAAATACTTGCAAATAGACAAAGAAGTGTTGGTTTTTTAAAAATTGACAAAAAATCTAAGAGGAGATTAATAAAAAAAAAAATCAAACCCTCTACCCGAGGGGGAGGGTTCGAGTGGAAAAAGGCTCAAGGCTTGCGAGGGCATTGGTAACATTTAGTGAAAAGGCCGAAAGTGTCGATCTGACGGACGAAATTGACGATGCTCGCCCAGCCGCCGAACCCGAACCCGACCACGAACACCCAAACCACCACGAATGCGTTCAGACAGTACGTTCCGACCCATCCTCCCACCACCTTCGGCGGCTTCTCCACCGCGTTCTATCCAAATTTCACCAAACCGAAGAATCTCGTAATTTTATCATAATCACGAAAACTTATACCAAATGGCTAAAAACATTGTAAATGACTAGATTAAGTACGGTTTAAAAAGCGTTTATGAAACTAAAAGATCGTAAAAACGTTATAGTTTCATTCGACAAGGGTATAAAAACATTGTAATAAAAATCTAATAAAGTTTTTAAATGGATAATAACAATGTAAATGACTATATCACGTTATTGGGAGGACCAATGTATGTATAGGGAAATTCAAGGTTAATAAATGCTGTAATAATAAAACCATTATCATAATATATATTTATTTTTTAAAAAACAACGCACCTCTCGGGCGGGAGAGGGAGCGAAAGTGATCATATGGGCCATGGCGGGGATGATGTAGACGGTGAAGCTGACGAGGAGAGAGCCGACAGTGGAGTTGATCGGTCCGAAGAAGGGGAAGATGATGGCCAGGAACCAGATCGGTACGACCACGGGCAGCCTCGACAGCGCTCGTTTGAACATGCTCTTCGTCTCGTGTATCCCTATCAACTTCTCCCACACAAAGTACAGCGGCGTACATGCGAACCCGAACGTTATGAACTGCCCAGAAAAACGAAAAGGGGTGGTCGATTTGGTTAATAACCGGATTGATTAAAACCGAATAATATATAACTGTAACCGAAATGGAACCCGACATGCAAAACCGAATCGTTATGATTTCACTAAAATTTAAAAAAAAAACAAATACAAATCGAATTGAACCGAAAAAACGGATTTTTGCATAAAAATGTGCATTTTTATTAATAAAAATTGAATTTGTATTGAATCGAAAAATCGAATGGTTATAGTTTTTATAAGGTTGAAATATTTGAATCCGGATCTAACCAAATTGGATCCGAAATGATCACCTTTAATTTTGAGTAATTTCGAGAAAGTCGAATAATGCATAATTATAATCGAACCAAATCGTAATGATTTCTCTAAATACGAGGAGAAAAAACAAAACTGAATTGTATAAAAAATAATAAAAAATCAGTGTTTAAAAAAGCATTTTTTTATCAAAAAAAATCAAATGCGAAATGAATCGAATTCGATATAAAAACTGAATTGTTATGATTTTTCTGAAATCGAGTATGATCAAACTGAAAACCGAAATGTTCACGACTAATTTTTTTAGCAATTTGTACAGAGGGATCCGATGAGGGGTAAGAATGTAATTTGGACCTGGTGGATGAGCATGAGGATGACGGCGGTGTCACGGAAACCGGTGCGGGGGAGCAAGGAGAGGGCGTTGGAGTGAGTGAGGAGCAAATCCCCAAACGCCCAATAAACGGCCGAGGCTGACGGCAACGTTAACGTCAACACGTACACCGTCGCCAACAGATATATCATCTTGAACTTTTGTGGCTTCCACATCGCATGCATTATTTCCCTGCATCAACGTTTTCCATTACAAGGGTGTTTTCGTACATTTACTTTTTAACGTAAAGCCGCCAAAAAATGTATCGTAGTATCGAGAACTACGGTTAATAATAATAATAATAATAATAATAATAATAATAATAATAATAATAATAATGATGATGATGATAATGCTTACACGGTGACGGCGTGGCCGCCGAAGGTGTAGAGAATGTTGGTGGCACCGGTGAAGTAGAGAACCATCTTTGTAGGCCCTGAATGTCTCACTCCCTCCATCTTATATTATATTTTATATAAAAATAAATAAAATAAACTCCATTTTTAATTTTTTAAAAAATGTATATATAGATAAGTGTCAATAATAATAATAAAAAAAAGAGAAAAATAAATATAAAATACCTGACCGTGGAGGAGGGAAGCAATGGTGAGATACCAAGCAGTGTAAGTGGTCATGGCGAGTCCAAGGAAAGACCAAATCCTATAGTTGTGGAAAGACGGAATGAAGACAGTGGTCGCACAACATGCGCCGAATATGTACGTCCACGTCCTCTTGTCTAGATTGTCGTTTATATAATATATATTGCTGCATATACATACACATATATGTATATATTAGAAATTTATAAAAAATGCCCAAGTGGGTATTATATTAATATAGATCTGCTGTGATGTGATCTGACCTTGCGCAGGCAATGAGTTGAATCACGGATCCAAACAAAAGGAACGTGCAGTTGAAGATCAGCCCTAGGTTTCTCCAGTGTTTCCCCAACAGCCCATCAAGAACTTCGAACCACTACTTTCACATCAAGATTCACATTAATATCTAGATGTATATATGTGTATGTATGTATGTATGTATATATATATATATATGACCTGAATGACGTGGTTACGGAAGTCGACTTTCTCTCTCTCTTTGCGGGTCCTGTACTCGACGTAGAGGACGCTGATAAGATAAGCGGTCCAGCTTCCCATCAGGCCGTAGAAGAGCTGAAAGAGTATTCCGGAGAGCATCCCCAGTTGCGAGAACGAATATGGCAACGTCAGCAACACCTGTGCCACCTGTAACACATACATGCATCCATCATCATCACCATCACCATCATCATGATATAGCATGCGGGGAACATGCAAAAAGGATTGGAATTTTGCATATAGATGATGATATAGAGAGCATACATACATATATATGTGTCAGTGTGTGTTTGTATGTATAGGAGCACAAGTGAACCAAACATTATCATCAAAGACAGAACCGAAAACATGCAAAAGGGTTGGTGTTGACATTCACTCACCACCCACGAAGGTTTTGCATATAGATGATGATGATGATGATATAGAGCATATGTGTATGAAGTATGTATGTATAGGGATGTATATATACCTGATTGGAGGCACAGCTGAACCAAGCATCATAGACAGAACCGCCATGCCAGAAGAACTTGGAGAGTTTGGTCTTGGCAGAGAGAGAAGTGTTGCCTCCTCCTTCTTCTTCTTCTCTTTCCATTTCCAAGTAATTCCCTGCGACCACTGTCTCCACCTTCTCTGCCGCCATTTTTGTTCCTCCCCAAAGCTCTCTCGGGTTATGCCAAAGTCCCTCTCCCTCCTCTTCTTCTGCTCTTTAAATAGAAAAATATTGGAAAACTTTTCGAAAATGATTCGAAATTGCCTTTTATTTTCTTCCTCCTTTTTTTTGCCTTTTTTTTTTAAAAAAAAATTAATTTTAATTTCCCTTTTATTATGAAATTTCGGGCAATTATTGAGTTACGAGTGTGGGGACAGAACTTAGGTCACCGCCTAGGAGTGATAGGATAACTTTCGTTTATGATTGGTCTGTGACGGAACTAAGTCACCGACAGCGAAGCTTACTGTTTCGAAGAGCATTTACTAATTCTTTACACACACAAAACGAGCTCGTAATGTTGAAGAGTTTACGTTACTCTTAATGGAGTCGGATGCGGCTATGCATTTTTTTCTTTTTGCTAAAATAATAATTTGAATTCGTAAATTAAAATTCTATTTCGTGCAAAAGAAATTAAACTCGTGATTTAAATTAGTTTGTACTTTTATTTATTTTATTTTATATGGGCTTGGTTTTTGGGCCCGAGCACTCGAGCACTACACGAGCGGGGAGGTCCACGTAGAGATTATACAATGATTCCGGATATTATGGGAAACTTCTTAATATCTGTTCATTATTTCAACAAATTGTTAAATAAATACATGAATATAATTAAAATTTTGAAATTAAAATATGTTAATCTTTAATGTTTAATTTTTCATAGATTTTTAGTATTTTTCTCTAAGTTTTCTAATAATTTTTTTGATATTCTTAAGATTTAAATTTCAGCTTCTACAATTAATATATTAGTATTTCGTCATTATAGCATAATATAAAAGAAATTATCTAAGTTCATACAAAATTATAAATTTAAAAAATTTAAAGCAGAAAAATATAAATCTATAATATTTTCTAAAAAATCGGTATATCATGTTAATTAATAAAAAAAGTAACAAATATTGTATGTAAGCGATGTTTAATATCTGTTAATTTTTTTTCATTAACATGATACATAAAAAAAAAATAGTCAACATCTTTCGATGCAATGCGGATGACTACAATGGCATTATTATTATTATTATTATTATTAGCATTATTATTATTATTATTATTATTATTATTATTATTATTATTATTATTATTATTATTATAATAGTAATGATTACGGCAACTAAAATAAATAAATATAACATATTGGGTCCTTCTGGATATTAATTTTAATATATACGCATCTATGCAAGTATTTTTTTAATATGTTTTAAATAATCACGATATTGACATGCAAATTTGGTTTAGTAGTTAATTGTTTCGGGTTACTATTTTAAAAATCAGTTATATTTTTACCAAATATCATGAATATATTTGGCAATTTAACAAAAAATGTTATTGAAATACGCAAAAGATAAAGATTAATAGTAATAATTAAAAAATATATATATAGACTGGTGAGGCTAAACGAGGTTTTGGGGATGGATCCGATGTGAGAGAATGATTACTAATGAGGTTGGATTAGTGATAAGCATGATTACCACATGTGTACGTCTAGCTGTCTTAGCCTTAATTAATCTCATTAATTTCGATATTTAAAAATTGCCCCCTTTACCTTTGGATTGTTTACTCTTTTGGCTCCTTACTTTTAAAATAAATCGAAATTACTTTCCTTTTTTTTCCCTTTTAAGTCCTTGATGAATGATAATGCCATGTAATGTAATCATAATTTGGGATCTTTATAGCTTTTGCAAGCCGCCAAAAGAAATGATATCAAGAAAAAATATTTTTTTTAATTAGAAAATTTGTTTTTCAATCTTCATTCTTTGGTTTTTTTAAATCTAATTTAAACATTTGTATTACATTTTTTAAATAATAAATGTACATATTATATCGTGTTGTTGTGATCTTTGATATCAGTCAATTCATATTTATTTAAGATCGATGATAAATTAGGCAATTGATTCAGACTCACTTTTCAAATGAGCAGCAAATCATATTTATATGCCAAATTATCATAATCAACATTCTGTAAAATTGTCACTACATTAATGGGCCGATTAAGGCCAACTATTATGACGGCCCATTATGAATAACCCACAAAGTAAACCCAATGTATATTTCATGAAACTTAATTTATGACAACCCAAAATAACTAATGCATAATACAATTCCCAGACCAAATTGAACCCAATAAATATATAGTCCAATGGAATATTTACAAACCAAAGTAATTAAATTTAAATCTAACATAAAATATAATGAAATAAAAATAAATAAATATTTTAAAATTAGAAGTAACTATCAAAACTAAATATATTATGATTTTATAAAACTGAAAAATCCGAATCCATTATCCACCAAAATCGGAATCCGAGAGTTTATTATATAATTGCCCTTAACGATATTCCCACCCAAGAGTCCAAAAGAATGCTTCAAAGAAAGTATTAGGAAAGGAATAGATTCTGTCTTTTTCCCAAACCCTGAAAACGAGGAAAACTAATTTTAAAAAATATATTTTTAGGGTTTTTTTTTTTTATTTTTTGCAAACGGATTATTATAATTTCTTCAATGGCGTTTATATACACGTTATTCTCCTTCACCCTTCGCATATATATACAAGGGGTTTCGGTGCCATGCACAAGACAATAATAAAAAGAGTTCAAGTAGAGATGTCAACACGTTTTGGCTTATTTCCAAAGTCCCTGTTACTCGTAATCATATTATATGGTACGTTGATTATCAAATCTTATCTATATCATTTTTCTTTTTTGTATATATACATATATATATATATGTATATATATATGCGTGTGTGTGTATATATATGTATGGATGTTTATAAGAATTAAATATATATATATGTAAAAGTTTATCTATAACATTTTAAAAACAAAGTATCTATCATAAAGTGTATCGATAACCAAAATTTTTAATCTAACAAAAGTTAGATTTGTTTATTTGATATAATTTTTAATTAAAGAATATAAACTATTTTTCGAAAAATTATAGCCCTTAGAACCTATCATCAAATATCCGTTCATACAAATAATTACTCTAAGTTATTTATACGAATCACTCGCAGTGATCATATTACCACTCGTGATTTTTTTATCCAACAAGAAAAAGTTAAAATTTTACATTTTAAATTCGGGTTTATGATAATAATAAGATACGTGACGTGATCAACGACAGGGGCAAAATCGTCAGAAGGAGCGAGGGTATTCACGATAGTGAACGCATGCAAGTACAAGATCTGGCCGGCGATAATGCCGGGAGAGCATTTCAACGGCGGTGGCTTCGAGCTAAAGTCCGGCCAATCAATCGTCTTCAGAGCTCCGGTCGCATGGTCCGGTCGAATCTGGGCACGAACCGGCTGCAACTTCGACGCTAAAGGTAAAGGCAAGTGCCTAACCGGAGCATGCGGCTCGAGCCTCCGGTGCACAGCCTCCGGTGAGCCGCCGGCGACTCTGACAGAGTTCACGCTGGCAACCCCGGATTTCTACGACGTGAGTCTGGTCGACGGGTTCAACCTCCCGGTGCTGGTGACGCCGGTTAACGGCCAGGGAAACTGCAGCGCGGCAGGATGCGACGGCGACGTGAACGGAGAATGTCCGCCGGAGCTGGCGGTGAAGTCGGGAAAGGGCGGGAAAGCGGTGGCGTGTAAGAGCGCGTGCGAGGTTTTCGACAGGGACGAGTACTGCTGCAGGGGCGTGTACGGAAACCCGGTGGTCTGTCAGCCGACGTATTATTCGAAGATATTTAAAAAGGCTTGCCCGACTGCGTACAGTTACGCGTACGATGATCCGACAAGCATCTTCACTTGTACGGGAACTGATTACATCATCACCTTCTGTTCTTCCAGGTCAGTTTTTTATTTGTTTTTTTTTTCAATTTCTAAATAATTATATTGAATTGGTTTTTATATTATAACTGGTTTCTGTTGGGTATGATCCTCGCTATATAATAGCAATTTTTTTTTTTAAAAAGGAGAATTTCGGATTTTGGTTCAGTGTGATTTTGGATTTTATCGATAATAATACATAGTTTTTTTTTATAATCAGGTCCACTTAAACTTTTAGATCCGGAATCAGCCTTTAGTCACACAATTAATTGATAATAATACATATTTTTGTAAAAAAAAAAAGGTCAGATTTTCCGATTATAAACGAATTTGGATTAAAATTTTCAATTAAAAATTATATTCATTTAATTTTTATATAAAATTTGAGTTACATACATTTAAAATACATATTATATGAACCTTAAATCAATATGACTAACTGTATTTTAATTAATTATAAATTTGTATCGTTCTATATATACATTATAGCGATTAATTGTCATTTTTAATGTAATCATGTTAATGTGTTCATACAGGAACCAATCGGTGTGCACTTTTCACGACAACAAACTGTCATGCGGTCACACGTCCGATGGGTTTAAACTCGTGAATGGAGGATGGTGGCTTGTGACAATGTTAATCTTATTATTTATAGTTGATTTATGGATTAATCCGGCGCATTTTAAACTATAATGTATGATCACATTCAATTTATTTTTTATTTTATTTTGAGTCTATTAAGCTGCGGAAAATAAATAATATTTGGTTTGTTTATACTCACTACTGTGAAACGTATGTATACTTGTATAAATCTGAAATCGTTTTGGACATAAAAATAATAATAATAATAATAAATATAAAATATGGGCGTGCTCTTAACGGGCCTATGTCAGGCCCATTGGCCCAATATTTTGATTGAATGGGTCGGATAGACTTGAGGAGACTTGGGGAGCGCCAATAAGCCGTTCAAATCTCACACTTTCCCTCTGTTTCTCTCTCTCTCTCTCTATCTCTCTCTCTATCTCTCTCTCTCTCTCTCTCTGCCATGGCGTTATTGGAGCCCTAGCTTTGATTATCACTACTGTGGGACACTGTGTGGTGAGTGTGTTAAGTCTGCGATTCATCGTTCAGAAATCTTCGTCGTGCCATATCCGGAGATGCGGTTGAGATCCAGCCATGGACAGGGAGGCTAACCTTCCGGTCCCACCGGATAAAGCTCCGAAGAACCTGGTCCCTTCGGTCCTAAATCAAGACACGTCTTCCTCTTCTTCTTCCTCCTCGCCGGATCTTCTCCGGCAGGTTCAAGCAGCTTTCAAGCGCCATCGCCCCCTCAGTACTCTCCCTCTCTCTAGCTCTCACCATTGCGTGCAAGAGAAATTTCCATGTCTGCAACTTTTTATTGATTCAATTTAGGGTTTAATGTACATTTCGCAATAATGGGATTTTCTCCGCTTGATACTGTGAAATTTTAGGGTTTTGTTGGGGGAAGTTAAGTTCCGCTTGTCTGTCGAATACATCACCCCCAGAATTTCATTTTCGCATTATCCTACAGGTTCACGCTTCAATTCCCAACCATTAGGTTATGTGGTGAATGTGAATCAGTTAATTTAGCCACTGATTTAGTCAAACCTTATGAGGGTGGAGCAGAGAACTTCATTGATTAAGACAGTTGATACTTTGAGCATTGCCTTAGGACAACTGGAGTACTTACTAGATTTCTAAGAGTTCTCTAATTGGCACATTTTCCAGGTAAAATGCGGACAAGCACAATCGGTCCCAGACGGAATGTTGCCCCCCAACGAGAAGCTTCTAGGAGCTCACGTTTGGATGCGGGTTCTAAAGGGGAACTGAAGAGATCTCATGATGTTGTTTCACTGAATCAGAGTCTGGTCGGGGATAATTTGATAGAAGATACGAGGAACATAACCACCTGTGTTGCTGGGCAGTCTCTTGAAGATGCTTCCATTGCAGCGCCTTCAGTTTCGAACACTATTATGAAAACCTTTGACGAGAATCTTAACCCATCTGGCCGACAGATGGATGAGTCGAAGCCTGATGTTGCTTATAAAGAGAGCGATCTGCATATAGAATCTCACAACGTAGATGGTCGCATAAAGGTCCAATCTCTAATTGGAAACACTCTCACCTCTCAGGGTAATAATTTATGGGCTCTACTTTTGGGTGCTCCTAGTTTCTTTTATACGATTTTGCAAGTTGATGCCATGGAATTGTAAGAAAGTTGAAAATCAAAGGGATTTGCCACACCACTGCCCTGTGTTTTTAATTACTCTATTTGGTATTCACCTGCATTTGATGCATGTAGATGAGATGATCAAGTGGTTTCTGTGTTGTTCGCTAAGAATCTCGTATGAATCACTCTTGCTGACAGATATGGACTTAGATGCAACAAATCAAGCTGTGGCATCCAATCTTGTTGCTAACAATGAATCAAGGCATCAGAATTTCCAGACTGTAGAATCTGAGATCAATGTCAAGTCGGAAAGTGGGGTTTCGTCTTCATTGGCAAAGATCCTGGATCAACAGGACAGTTTCCGTAACTTCTTAGACCGGCCCATTTCTCATTGCTCTGTTGTGGGTTCGTCCTGCGCAACAACAACTTCAATCCACATGTCTTCAGCTCCAATCCTTAATGCAACGACCTACATGTCATGTTCTTATGTAGAGGGTAACCGTAATACAACAATGGAACCTTCAGCTGACTCAAATGCAAATCCTCGGGCTGTCCAAAGTCTAGGAGAAATGATGCAACCTTTGCATCCTTCAACCAAGGAAATCAACAATATGCAAGTTGATAAGAGTGCCTCGGCTATTGATCCAGAAGAGCCAGACAAGCCAAAGCAACAAAGCTGCACTACCAAAAGTGAAATTTCAATGGCATCTTCCAGTCATCAGAGAGAGGAACAATTACAATCTAAGGCTTCACTGTCCAATGACTTGCCCACTGGCAACAACTCCCAGCTTTCGAAATCAGAAAAGCAAGAGAAGGTTGCTAGCAACAAAGGGGCAGCCCCACCTCGTAGAAGAAACTATGATCCTGACTTGTTCTTCAAAGTTAATGGGAAGCTCTATCAGAGGCTCGGCAAGATAGGAAGTGGTGGAAGCAGTGAGGTCCACAAGGTCATTTCTTCAAATTGTACCATATATGCTCTGAAGAAAATCAAGCTCAAAGGTCGTGACTATGCAACAGCTTACGGCTTTTGCCAGGAAATCGAATACTTGAAGAAGCTAAAGGGGAAAACCCACATCATTCAGTTAATAGACTATGAGGTACTTCCAAATATAATTCTGTTGAGGATCCATTGAGAGCAGCTCCAGTGCCCATTAAAACTCCGGTTTACTAACAGCGTTTCGTTTGCAATTAGGTTACAGATAAAGCTTTGCACCGGGAAGTCTTGAACGGCACAATGAGTAACAAAGATGGAAGAGTCAAGGACGATGGATACATCTATATGGTACTAGAATATGGAGAAATCGATCTGGCCCACATGTTATCCCAGAAGTGGAAGGAAATTGATGGATCTAGCCAAACAATTGATGAAAATTGGTTGCGGTTCTATTGGCAGGTTCTTGTCTTAACCCTTCACTTTTGTTCTTGTGTTTTCTGCACGGTACAATCATGTTAACTGTTATCATTGCTGCTGTAGAAGTTGTTTAGTTAGATATTTCGGCAACTATGGCAAAAAAACATATTTTTAACTTCCGTTCTACTAAAAATAAATGTAATTCTCATTTATTGCAGCAAATACTTCAAGCTGTTAACACCATACACGAGGAACGGATTGTGCATTCTGATTTGAAGCCTGCGAATTTCCTTCTCGTGAGAGGCTCCTTAAAGCTGATTGATTTTGGAATTGCTAAGGCCATCAATAGTGACACTACCAATATCCAAAGGGACTCACAGGTAAAGTAAAACCCTTTTCATCTTACACTTGTGAACTTCTCTGCATTTTCTCCGGTCTTTTCCATTGTGTATGAAAACACAAAGCATCAAGCTTTCACTTATAATCCGAGTTTGTGTTTATGGGCAGGTGGGAACTTTGAGTTACATGTCACCTGAAGCATTCATGTGTAATGAAAGCGACGAGAACGGGATCACAATTAAATGTGGGAGGCCATCCGATATTTGGTCACTGGGTTGCATCCTATACCAAATGGTGTACGGAAGAACGCCATTTGCCGACTACAAATCCTTCTGGTCGAAATTCAAAGTCATAACCGATCCAAACCACGAGATCACGTACCCTCCGGTCTCGAATCCATGGCTTCTCGACCTGATGAAGAAATGTCTAGCCTGGGACAGGAACCAAAGATGGAGAATCCCTCAGCTCTTGGAACACCCTTTCATTGCCCCTCCAGTCCCACCACGAGACAAAAGCCGCGTCAAACTGCTCGACCTCATAGCAGAGTCTTGTGGCAACAGCGGTGAAACCGCCTCTGCCTTGATCTCTCGGCTCGGAGAGCTGCTCATAGATCCGGATTCATGTCCGAGAACCGATTCGGTAACGTCGAGAGATCAACATTGTCGAATCCTCATCCGGGTTTCGGAGATTTGTGCTCAGCTTCAGGAACTGTTGCAAACTGATTCATTGTGACTATTTTGTTCTTGCGCTTCTGTAAATTGGCTTGTTGATTGTTAGCTCTATGCAAAGATGAAATCTTTTTTGTACACTGACGATGTAATGAATGCCCTCTCTTTGTTTTGTTTGTTTATCCTTTCTGTAATTATGATATATGGCTGAGCTTTTAACAGAAAGCACAATGTAGCGGAAACGCTGTCGTTTAGTACTGACAGCTAAAACGACGGCGTTCCATCCACTCTCGTCTAATTTTTTTTAATTAAAATATCCCAATTTACCCAAACGTACTGTATAAATACTTCAACTTATTGTTAACTAAATATCTAAATTTGATTATTTTATATCAAATAAATTTCAAATCGTTGATGCCGTTAATTGATGATATTAAATTAGTATTCATAAATTTTCAAAGTGAGATATTTATTTGGTCATTTGTAAATTGAGATATTTATGTGGTACATTTAGATAAATTAAGTATTTTTTTATATGAAATTTTCTTTTTTTGTGTGGACAAAAGTATATTGTATTTTCCCATTGATTGACGTAGATATTACGAAAAATGAGTTGGTTGACGAGGTAGGGCGAAAATTGTTGTAATGGTTTATAACATTTTGTAAGCGTAAATAAATATTCACACATATATATACACCAAAATTGAAGCAAGATAAAAGAATTCGTATAAATGTTTAAGGTCTCTTTTTTTTAAAAAAATTATTTGTGGAAATTGTATAAAATAAAATAAGGTATATATATATATATATATTTAATAAGATTGGTCACTTCGGAGGTACGTAGCAGTTTTGTTGTTATTTTTGGTATTTTGTTTCAGAGAGTGTCTTCTTCTTCTTCTTCTTCGTCGTGCTTCTGCCGATTGATGAAGACGTGTGATGAGTGACTGTTGTATATTCCCCTCATCCCCTTAGGCCTTAGTCATTATTCATTCAATTTCATTATATATATATATATATAACTTATATATGTATATAATTATAGGTGTGGCAATGGAAAGATGTGCAAGCAAACCATAGCTCCAACACAAAGAAACAAAATTTCATATTTGGTAAAGAATCTAGTGTGTTCTTCATATATAATTTGTTTTCAATTTGATACATTTTTTTTCAATTTATATATATATATATATATAACACAATCTGCATGTTATATACTCGCGAAGCATGTATATATCTTACGTGTAAAAAAAAACCCTAGCTATATATATATTATACAAACTATTGATTTGTCCGATTTCACTGGACATTTAACTGCGAGATTCTGAATTTCGAAAGTGTCATTTCAATGGGGGCTTCCCCATGAGAACCAAAAGAACTAAAATGCTGTGTAATAAAAAAAAAAAACGTTACATAATAATCCACACACCATGCATGCATGCAAAATTGCAAATGCAAGATTTATAATATGCGATTCATTATAAATCTGACTAATCACAATATGCCAAATGGCACTTTCTCCGAGAGCCACCTGGCATTACAATACGATGCCTACGTCTTTAATTCCATTTCGTTAGTGTCGGTCCAAGGAATTCGTAACCATACAGAGTCAACGTCTTGTGTGTTTGTATGAATAAAGTATAATGTTTCTATGTTACATGTCACATTGATATTATCAGTGTTGTATCGCATTATTAATTTAAATGTTGAGAAATATAATATGATAATATAATTAAAAAAATGGAAGAGATTTCGTGTGGACTGACGTTAGAAATTCACAGGGAAATGATGAAAGAGAGTTGATGAAGTTTTGCTTTTTTCATTAGGGCGGCTACCTGACTCACCAGTCACCGGTCACCCTCCCCACATCCGTCTTGTCTATTCCCTTTTTTTTTCCCCACACACAAAAATAATATTCACAAATTCAATATAATTTTAAAAATAAATTCATTCATATTTACTTTAGTTTTTCTATTCTATTTTTTTAATTTATAAACCGATATACATTCTTTCTTCCTCTCTAAAATTTTATTTAGATAAATACCCATCTGGGTTAGGTCTCAAGGGGTTTAATTGTACGTTTCTAATTTATAGGGCCAATTTTAAGAGAAGAAGCAAATTAGGCGGTGAAACCGGAAATCTATTCACACGCAAACGCTACCACGCTCAAAACGGTCGCACGTGTGCAAAACCTTGCACGTGACCTCTACGCGCCTAACGAAAGACAACGTAATCTTCGTAGGATCCTGACGCCATCAGAGACAGGTGGAACGCTCAGAGACTGTGATGACGTGGGTCGAATCTGGCCGCCCAAACCTTCTCCACGTGGCACCGTATCAGTCGTTGGTTTCATCGTAAACGACGGCTGAGGTTGGGCCGTGACAGCCCATTGGCATGGTGATGGGGCCCACTCTTGTGCCAGCTCAGCTCTGTCGATCCAACTGTAAAAGGAACTGTTTGGCTCGACCTCTCCATTCCTACTCCTTGAAATTAATGTTGTATTAATTAATTAATGGGATATGGACCGACGATTTTATTTCGTTTTTTTTTTAATATAAATTTAATGTTTGCGAATAAAATCGCAATAATTTTTAAAAAAATTATATGTGGAAGTCGAACGAGATGGCTCGGTCATGCAATTAATAAAAAAATACGAGGAGATAAGCATTTTCCTGCATTATTATTAACATGGATAATCACGGATTAATTAAAACAAAAAATAAAATGGAATTTGATCTGACAGCATGATATACGTGTTTGGTTATTGGCGAGAATGACGCTAGTACGCTGTTATATTCAATGTTTCCTTATTAGAATTCGATTTTTTATATAAAAAAAAATACGAGATGTTATGTTTTGACTATGACTCATGGTCTTTGAGATTTGTTTTAAATTTTAATCACATTTTCTATTTATTGAGTTTGTATATATTTTAATCAGTGATTATGTTTTGATTGCCGGAATTTTGTATTTCTTTCTTTATTTCATGAAAATTTGTTTATTCAGTTTTTATATCATAAATTAAACGTGTCTTTGTCAAGTATTTTTTTTATCCTACGTAGTGTAACTAAATGCTATATAATTTTCAGTTATGTTGCTTCCGTAAGTCAATGAATTTTGGCGTAATTATGAAATGTAATTATATTATATATAATATATATCATAAATTAATTGTTGCAATAAGGGATGTGTCGTTTTTGTGTATATATATGTGATTAAGGTGGGATTTGGGTTTAAGTTAAATGAATTGAGAGATCTATGGTAGGAGAGATCGGAAATTAGAGAACCCGCCGACCATTATAATGGAAAAAAAAGCACACACAAGACAACAAAATTAAAATATTATAATTAAGTATTTATCAAAACATAATCATCCTTGATTATATATTATTCCCTTCTCAATCAAGGTTTCTTGATAATCCATCACTATCATATATATATATATATATATATATAACCAAAATAATAATAATGACATATCCACAAAACATAATGGTAAGGTCCAATTAATTTTAGTACAAGGGAGAAACAGGGGAGGCCGAAGGCTCATCATTTGGTCTTCTACGTGGGTGGTCGTATTAATACCATATATTACTACGTGGGTTGGGGGGGGGGATAACCTCTTTTTAAATTACATTCTACAAAAATTACAAAAGTGGGGGGGGGGGATAACGTCTTTTTAAATTACATTCGACAAAAATTACAAAATTTAAAAACGTATTATTTCAAAATAAATAAATTAAATATTATTAGTAATATTTTTGTCTTAACGAATGGGGTTTCTTTTTCGGGCTGGTGGGCTTTATGTGTCCGGTTCCCCATGGTCACTGTAACTCTCTCTCTCTCTCTATTTTATGTTCGACTTTTTTATTTTTAATTATTCTCTCTATATATAATTTTTATTTTTAATTCGAGTGTTATTATTTCTCTCTCCCTTTATCCCCTTCTTCTTCTTCCTCTTTCTATTATTTTCTGTTCTTGTGGCGTTTGTGGGATTCTCGCCAGGCCTCTTCCTCTCAGATTTAGAAAATTTCCTTTAAAGGAAACAATCTGAAGATTTCCACAGTTTTTTCCGTCTCAGATTTCAACGAATCCGCAGCTTAAGTCACCTGGAAATGCTTGTTTCCTTCAGGGGCTTGCTCATTTTCCGGCGAATCTAGCTGCCGTCCGTGAAGACGAAGGAAGCCCTAGGAATCGAACGAAGCGAATGCCGTTTCTGAGATTGTAGAGATTCTGAAAAATCTGGGTGAGGCTTAAAAAGGTTGTCTGATGAGTAGAAGATGCGTGAAGCGCTGCTGAGCGAAGAAGCCACTGACGTTTCATCGAGCAGCAGTGTCGGCGACAAGAAGGTTGCGGAAGAGGACAAGACTGATACCACCGTGTTCAGGCGAATCGGCGAAGAAGACGAGAGAACCGACGATTTGTTGTTACTAGCCCTGTCGCCGATGGTTCGATCGAGATCTCATGGAACGACGAGGCGCGTGACTCCCACGCCTTCCGTGGACGTGGAGAAGCCGCTACCAAACGGGGATCTCTACATCGGGAGCTTCTGCGGAGGAGTTCCTCACGGATCGGGAAAGTATCTGTGGAAGGATGGGTGTATGTACGAAGGCGAGTGGAAGCGCGGCAAGGCGTCGGGGAAGGGGAAGTTCTCGTGGCCGAGTGGAGCCACGTACGAGGGCGAGTTCAAGTCCGGGAGGATGGAAGGGTTCGGAACCTTCACCGGAGCCGACGGCGACACGTATCGCGGCTCGTGGGTCGCCGACCGGAAGCAGGGACACGGGCAAAAGCGGTATGCGAACGGCGACTTCTACGAGGGGACATGGCGGCGGAATCTCCAAGACGGTCGAGGCCGCTACGTGTGGAGGAACGGGAATCAGTACACCGGAGAGTGGAGGAATGGGATGATCTCAGGGAAGGGTGTTCTTGTTTGGCCGAATGGAAATCGTTACGAAGGGCAATGGGAAAGTGGAATCCCTAAAGGGAATGGGACTTTCACTTGGGCTGATGGAAGCAGTCGTGTTGGTACATGGAACGAAGGTAACCTCGCGAAGAACTTCAATGGCATCGATAAGAACGATTTGGTCGTGACGACAACGAGGAAGAGATCCTCTGTTGATAGCGGAGCTGGAAGCTTGAGCGGGGAGAAGTTCTTCCCGAGAATCTGCATATGGGAATCCGATGGAGAAGCCGGGGATATAACTTGCGACATCGTCGATAATGTCGAAGCTTCAATGATTTACAGGGACAGAATCTCCGTGGATCGAGATGGGTTTCGTCAGTTGAGGAAAAACCCTTGCTGTTTCAGCGGCGAGGCGAAGAAACCTGGACAGACGATCTCGAAAGGGCATAAGAAGTACGATCTGATGCTCAACTTGCAACTAGGGATCAGGTAAATGCTTCTCAGATTTCGATCAGATGTTGTCTTATGGATCTTCATGTCCTGTCCTAACTGTGTTGACATAACCAGATACTCTGTCGGAAAGCACGCTTCCATTGTTCGAGACCTCAAACAGAGTGATTTCGATCCGAGGGAGAAATACTGGACAAGGTTTCCTCCCGAAGGTTCCAAGACGACGCCTCCTCATCAGTCGGTGGATTTCCGGTGGAAAGATTATTGCCCATTGGTCTTCAGGTTGTCTTCCTTTTGCAGTGATTCTTTATCTTTTTTGAAAAAACTTTGATTCCATCATATTGGCTGATTGTGTTTATGACCCATCAAATATTGGTGCTTGCTTTTGTCTTGGAACTCATAAACTTGATTTGATTCATCTGGGTTTTGTTTATAATGACATGGTTGTGATAAAGTGTTATTTTTTGGGAAATTTTGCTTATCAGACGTCTGAGGGGGCTCTTCCAAGTCGATCCAGCTGATTACATGTTAGCAATCTGTGGAAACGATGCTCTTAGGGAGCTTTCTTCACCGGGAAAGAGTGGAAGCTTCTTTTACCTCACCCAAGACGACAGATTCATGATCAAAACCGTGAAGAAATCAGAAGTCAAGGTTAGTTGCATGTTGTTTGACCCATCTCTTGTCATGTTTGGATGTAATGTTTCAACAAATCAAAGGCTTAATTAGCGGCAGGAAAACCCCTTTTGTCTCTTTCTTTCTTTGCTTTCACTTTACTGCTTTCTTAAATCAGAAATCCCACCACTTGACATTAGTCTAGTGTGGTTTAGATAGGAAAACTTGACCAGAAGTCCTCGTCTCTTTCTTCAGGTGCTTCTAAGGATGCTTCCAAGTTACTATCGTCACGTTTGCCAGCACGAAAATTCGCTCGTGACCAAGTTCTACGGTGTGCATTGCGTCAAACCCATTGGTGGCCAGAAGGTATATCATATGTGCCTTCTCTTTGTTTGAATTCAATGGATTTTACTTTGCATTGGATCATTCTCTCATGTTGGTTCGCTATCTTACCAGACACGGTTTATCGTCATGGGCAACTTGTTCTGCTCTGAGTATAGAATCCAAAGACGGTTTGACCTTAAAGGATCTTCCCATGGCCGCACCACTGCCATGCCCGAAGGGGAAATCGACGAGACCACGACCCTTAAGGACCTCGATCTCAATTTCGTGTTTCGTCTTCAGAGAAATCGATACCAGGAGCTGATCAAGTAAGCTTTGACCAATTTTCCCTAGCTTCTAGTGCTCTAACTCTTGGATTCTCTGTTAAATTGACTCACAAATCCTTACTATCTCCAGGCAGATAAAACGAGACTGCGAGTTCTTGGAATCAGAGGGAATAATGGATTATAGCCTTTTAGTTGGCCTTCACTTCCGCGATGACAACACTGGAGACAAGATCGGGCTGTCCCCATTTGTCCTGAGATCTGGTAAGTTGATATTCTTCACATTCTCTCCCCCCAAAATCTCATTTTCCTGAAGGCTTTATGCATGACGAGTATGTATATATGTTCATGTCTGTCTCACAGGTAGGATAGATTCATACCAGAACGAGAAATTCATGCGCGGTTGTCGGTTCCTTGAAGCTGAGCTACAGGATATGGACCGGATTTTAGCTGGCAGGTACGCCCGAGTATTGATTTTAGCCAATCATTAACACGCTCAAAGAAAGGACTAGGAACGTGGATTGATCTTTAGCCATATGATAAGTTGGGCCTCGGAAGTAAATAATTGCATGCAGCCACTTAAAGAGTGGTTGAGAAGTTGTAGTCTTGATTGGGTGCAAACCAAAAGCTGAAATTGATTGGTGGGTAGGCGACACAATTACTCATGATGTTCTTGCCCTTGTTCCCGCTTGTGCAAAGATCGAGACTTTACTCAAAAGGGTGTCGGAATTCGACGTTTTTGCAGGAAACCCTTGATCCGACTGGGCTCAAACATGCCGGCTAGAGCGGAGAGGGTCGCTAGAAGGAGCGATTTCGATCATCGGTCGGGGGGAGGAACCAACCACTCGGCACACGGGGAAGTGTACGAGGTGGTTCTGTACTTTGGGATCATAGACATTTTGCAAGACTACGACATAAGCAAGAAGATAGAGCACGCTTACAAGTCCCTACAGGCGGACCCTTCTTCCATCTCTGCCGTTGATCCTAAGCTCTACTCCAAGAGGTTCCGAGATTTCATCAGCAGGATCTTCATCGAAGATGGGTAAGAGCAGCAAGGATATAATGGAGAGAGATGATCAGAAGAGTGTGATTCATTGGAGACTGCGGGGTTTCTCCAAATCCCGAAACTACCCCTCTGGTGAGACCTGTTTGGTCGGGGGTAAAAGGGTAATTTTACCATTGGTGAATATACCATAGTGATGATGAAAAAAATTTTGGGGGGCGTTTTTTTTTTGTGTATGTGGTGAATCAAAGATGGATGAAAATAGAAACAAAAAGAGAAGACAGTGGGGTGATGTGGAATAAGATATGTGTGTACAGAAAAGGATGGGCGGTTTATTTAATTCCATTAATTTAATTTCCTCTCTCTTATTTTTTTTTTAAAATTTTGAAATTCTTTATTTTCTTATATGGGAAGATGTTTTATTTTATTTTAGAAAAAAGGGTATGAAAAAAGAGAAAAAGATGGAGGTGTTAAAATCCGGAAATGAGGTCCCATATGCCCATTGGGATGCTAAGTTCCCATCCCTTTCCATCCCCCCAACACAAATAAATGGCATGTTCCCTGAATTTAAAATATGTATAATGTAATGTTTGGTGAAAAAAATATTTATTAATAAATGTGTTCCTGAAAATCAAAGGAAAAAAAACAAATTGGAAGTGTACGAGAAAATGTTAAATTACAAAATAATAGTAAATTTATACATAATAATAATCTACAAAATATTTACAACACTCGAAATACAATTCCAATTTTGCCCCGTGGACCAAAAAATTAGATATTTTTGTAACCGAGGATACAAAAAAGCAAAAGATAAAGAAACAAGAGAGAATCACATGACATAGTCGATTTTACTAGCGGTGATCGTTTCGGTATTCAATTCGAATTCAGTTCGCTTCTTTCGATTCTATAAAAATATATACTAATCGATTATTATTTAATATTTAGTTCAGTTCGGTTTGATTTTTATTACGAAAAATTTAGATTTTTTTAACAAATTTTGGTATTTAGTTTTTTTTAAAATTTTTATTTAGTTCACTTGTAAAAAATTCGGTTTTCTAAAAAAATACCATTAAATTTTTATATATTATTCGGTTTGAAACGATACTGTATTTTTCGATTCGATACGGTTTGGTTATAAATTACCATACCAAAACGTAGGTTTTACTGTGTTTGAATCGTAATATTCTTATATATATATATATATATATATATATATATATCATATGACCAATTTAAGGATAGTTTAATGCGAAGGAGATAAAACCCTATTAAGAGCTACGCTAGACAATAGGCTATACAAGAAGTCTATCAACAATAAATAAATAAATACCTATATTGGAATTTATTTCTATATATGGAACAAATATTTAAATGAAATATGAATGCGACCAATAGGATGAGAGCATTCCAAAAGTCAATCAAATGTGCAAAAAGAAATAGTAGAATAATGAAAGGTTTAAATGAATATGATTAAATATATATATTTATGGAATAATTAACCTGTCATTATGCGCCCATTTCCGGATCCCATGCTCCAAATTCCCAAGTGGAACAAACCTATATTTTTTTTTATAAAATGACTAATTTCAGTTTATTTATTTATTTCTGGTCAAAGTTATTAAAAAAATTCGTAAAAAAAATTAATTGTTTAAACTTCTGATTAAAGAGCAATCTTTAGTGCGCCTTCATATTTCTTGTGAACGGAGTTTATTATCTTTGTTGTTTTATACATAAATTCTCGAGATTTTTTCTGCCACATTGGTTATCGAACTCGTAGGTAACGAACCATAAATTCATATATATATATATATACACAATTTTGAAAAGTAATTATAGATTAAGAGATCCACTCTGAATAAAAAAAAATATTTTAACAGTATTTCCCGTGAAAATGTCTAAAAAAAGGTGAACTTGCAGGTTTCGACAATTTTTTTAAATTTTGACAAAAAAACATTGTCAAAATTGTATGTCATATATGTTGTATCATACACTAAAAATGTAATATCATATAATTATAGTTTTATTCAAAGTAATGTTCATTTTTTTGGTGCCAAAATTGCTGCAATTTAATTTATATGTGCTTTCTACTTACCATGTTTTCTTTTTCGAATTTCTTGACCCTAACATATTTTCCAAAATTATAAATATTTAAATGAATAAATACGTATAATTAATGTATCGACCATTGTCTCGAGAAACAAACAGATCATCAAAGGAATATAAATGTGCAACGTACGTACTCTTGTGTTGTGTGTAAATAATATTAAATAATATTAAATTAAAATCACATTTACGCTGACACTGTTCCCCCAAACTGACAAAGTCAACAGAAACAAAAAAAAAAAAAGTTATTTTATTTATTTGATTTATTATTTTTTTATGACAATAACAAAACGACACAGTTTTTTATTACAGTAGTTTAGGTCTGCCAGATCCTTGCATGCCTAAAAAGCAATTTTAATTTAAAATAATATAATAATAATCAGATGTTAATTTTCTTACAAAGTTATCATTATATAATTTTATTTATGTATTTATTTACTGTTGTGGTCAATGAGATTAGACAGATGCAGTAAGATCTTTTGTCTGACCAATCTGTCTCTCTATTCATTTTTTTATTTTCTTTTTTTTAATCGATTATATACACAAACATTACCGTAATTATATATATATATAATTGTTAAATATTTATTAAAACTAAATAATAACCAGAAAATATTAAAAAAAAATGATAACTTAAATTCCGCGTCATATTCTCCCTTGATATCCATATATGCAATAAAATGCTAATAAGTTCATATTTTATTCTACTCAAATTTTGGTAACTTCGTATATACTGTAACTCTTAAATATATAATATACTTGTAATAAAACTTAGACCAAATTTAAAGTAAATAAAAACGCTAAAAATATATAAATTCTGTGTATCTATAAGACATAAATAGAAAGGTAATTGTCTTTATTATTTAAGCACAAAATTCAAATTAGGGGTTGAAGAAAATAAATTTATAAATTTATAAGTATTTAATTGATATAGGAAGGTAATGCAAACAAGACCCGAATCCAGGTGAATCTTCTTCCCACGCCTTTCCTATAGCCGATAATTTTAAATTATTTATTCGTACGTATTCCATCTATAATCACATATAATAAAAAAAAATTAAATATTTTATTATCATTGAAAATTCCCAATATTACATCACTCGGTCCAAAATTTCTTTTATAATCCTCCACGGGCCGTTTGCATTTTTTAAAACACATACAATGATAACAACACAATAATGGTTTTTTTTTGTTAAATCGTTAATCTATATTAAAAGAAGAAAAAATCTTTAAACTTTAAAAATCAAATAGAAAATAGTAATACGTAAACTCTATATTATATAGATACTGTATTATATAAATATTCCAAAATTTTTAATGGATGCAAATTTTATTCATTATTTTTATTATAAGATATTGTGTATTACATTAAAATTCGATATGAAAGTAACGGTAATGAGAAAAAGAATGGATAACAAATTTAATCTATAAATAAGCCGGCCTTATCATAAAAAATATTGGTATATATAAAAATCTTGTCACATGAAATACTTTTTTTTTTAAATCGTGAAAAAAGAGAACTTTTTCAGGGCATATTTTTATTGGAAATTGGTTAAAACGTTAAAAGTAAACCCAATCGACCTATAAAAACACAGCTTAATGCAACCATGATTAGCAACCTTTCTTTGTTGGATAATTGCGATGATCTCTAGCTAGGGTTCCCTTTAAACCAAAATAATTCCCAGATTGATTAAATTCATTGTTTTGATTAGGCAGCCTGTTTAGCTTTATTTTATAAGAAACTGTAATAACAAGATCAAGTTTGAAGAAGAATATGAACATAAAATTTCGGTATCGTTTCTAATCTGAATCATTCAAAAATTTTAAACGCTAATTTTTTTAAATGATCAAATTTTCTAGAATTGAATTGAATTGAACCGAATTTAAAAAAAAAAATCAAAAAACCCAATTTCTTAAGAAAATCTATGTTTTATTGATGGAAAAACGAAACGAACCGAATATGATATAACAACCGTTTGGTGCATATCTTTATAGAATCGAAAGAACCGAACTGAACAATTACCAAACCGAAAATGTCCAACCCTAATTTACTATAAAGATATTACATCGATGTTAATTTAATTATACAAAAAAAAAAAAGTTGAATCCATAAAATCTCAATACCAAAATGAAGTATAAAAATAAAATGATGAAATTTTATATATTATAGAATAGAATTGGACTATATGTATATTTGTAAATGAATGCTCGTAATTAAATAAATGTGATGTATATGTTTCAAGGATTCACACAAAAGAGGCGGAAGATTTTGACAACGAACTCACAAAATGAAGACAAAGAACAATGGAAAATGTCCGGAATTGAAAAGGCACTAAATGTGGCCAATGGGCCTTGAAAAAGAAATGCATTATTTCATAAGCCAACATAAGGTTCCACCACCGGGGGACATCATCCCTTAACTATCCCTTTCTTCTTATTCTTCTTCTCCCTACTGTTTTTTTTTTTTATTTTAAAAAAAGATATATATATATATATATATATATTTGAATTTTGAAAGAAAAAAATATAATACCTAACCCTAATAATGTTGTCTTCTCTTCGCCTAGAAACCACGTGTCTCTTGACACTCCATGTTATATGAAATGAAGAGTTTCATTATTACAAAACCAAAAGAAATTACATATAAAAAATTAAATATAAATAAAATTATGTTTTTTAATAGTTTTTTAAGGAACAATAAACATAATCGTTTTATTAAGTTTTTTTTTATAATCGAGTATTTTGGGACGAAGTCCAGACTAATATCGGGACCGGAAACAAGAGGTGTCATTAAGTTTTCATTTTAATATATGAAACAATAATGTCGTGAGTTATATATACCTTTTGTTCTCTTTGCTCACATAGATTAGATTTTTAATGTACACTTGTATATATATTTATAAAGGGGCTCTATTTCTAAAAATTACGAATTTTGTTCTAAATCTTTTGTTCACCTGCATAAATATTTGCACAAATTTCCAACGCACTCGCGTGTGTATATTATATATGTACATACAAAACAATACATGGGCTTTCCCCATAATCTGAATAATGTATATATTATATGGGCCTTCTCCACACAGAATACTCCCTGTCCATTGAAATCCATTCACACACACACAGATATATATATATATATATATATATATATATATCTTGTAGGGGGTAATAATAAAAAGGATAAGATACGTATGGTACATTTATCATAACATTACCATCAGCCCGAGATGTAACTTCAGAAAGAAGTAGACACAATCCAAGAATGGAACATACAACTACACAACTAAACTCACATTAAGACAAAAGGCTTACTGCTTACTTGGGAGCTTTCTTCTTCCCTGCAATGGAGACTTTCTTACCTTTGAGAGTCCTGCAATTGTTCTTTGTTCTCTGTCCCCGACATGGCAGCCCTTGTATATGTCTCACCCCTCGATAACATTGAATCTCCTTCAATCTCTTAATCGCCAGTGCGTTGAACCTCCTCTGCAATACCCGGAAACAAGAAATCTCTTCAAAAGATTATCTCTTAATAGATACTCCTACTCAAGTTCAACAGATATGGAAGAACCGCTCGCTTCCGTGAACAAAAGAATTGCTTTAACAGCACAAATGAGCGGGGTTTCCCCGTCATTTTCAACGTTAACCTCCAATCACCAGAAGAGTTAGAACTACCCTTTTGCAAGGAAAGAAAGGACAATCAACCATCATTACCCTATCTGTTGCAGGTTTCTAATGGACTGATGAACTCTTCAGCTGAATCAAGTGGCAGCGATGCAACATTTTAGAAACAAGGAATGAAAAGGAAACTACTTACGAGATCACCCTCGATCATATACTTGGAGACCTCGTCACGAATAACGATAAGTTCATCCTCGGATAGGTCTTTAGTGATCTTGTTCTCCATCTGGATGTCGTTGAGAATCTGGCGTGCCCTCACCCGGCCGATCCCGTGAATGTATTGAAGAGAGTATTCGATTCTCTTGTTGGTTGGGATCTCCACACCTCCAACACGGGCACATCGGATGCTTAGACTCTGGTACTGTGCATTTCATCACATCCACACCATACCAGTTAAACCCTAATATCGTACTGTTCAGCAGAAGAAGCTAGAGGCAAAAACCACAACCCGGTATCTGATTGATCACCGCCAACATTGCTCATACTTTGACAAATTCAAAGCTAATTTATCATGAGATACAAATCAAAAGTCCTGAGATACCAAAATGAAAGCAAATGTATAAAATTTTTCAGCTCCTACCGCATAACAAAGCTTAAGGCATGGAGAGGAGATTCGATAGGCGAATTCTTCGTAGAAGGTACGCGGAATCCGAATACAGATACTCACATCACAGAATTTACACACATTATCCGAAGAAAAAGAAGCAAAACTCGAAAGATTAACAGGATATGTATAAAACCGTAGAACATCGCAGAGAATAAATGATCATCAGAGATTACCTTCGGAGCAACGGAAACCGGAAGAGTAAGAGTGTTGCGAGCGAGAGGATTCGAGTTCGTCCAATTACACAAGATGGACAGAGAATTCGCGACGGGCGTCCGTACCGCCTGCGCCATTTTTCTCTCCTTGCTTCGGATTTTCCCGCAGATTATCGGAAACCAAACGGGGGAGAGAGAGAGTTTACATTCAAGAGAAGAGGCTACGAAGCACAATTAGCTTGTCATTTCGACAATGGTTGCAAAACGACGACGTTTATTAAAAGGCCCAATGGGCCATAACATTTAACATTCTTTGAGCCCATTAGGCCCATTAAGAGCCTTGCCCTCCCCTGCCCTGCCCTGCAATGGTGTCTGTATCTCTTCCCCTTTAAACAGCTTTCATTTAGTCCGATAGCTTTCCTATAAAAAAAAAACTTTCTTTTTGCCTCTAATGGTGTCTGTATCTCTTACCCTGTAACAGTTTTCTTCCTGTCTGATCACTTACCTATATAAAAAGAGCTTTCTTCTTCCCTCTAATGGTGTCTGTATCTCTTGCCCTTTTAACAGATTTCTTCTTGTCTGGTTTCTTACCTATATATATATATATAAAGCTGTCTTCTTCTTGCCTCTAATGGTGTCTGTATCTCTTACCCATTGACAGTTCTCTTCTTGGCTGGCCTCTTACCTATAAAAAAGCTTACTTCTTGCCTCTTAATGGTGTCTGTATATCTTGCCCTCTTAACAGTTTTCTTCTTGTCTGGTCTCTTACCTATAAAATAAAAAAGCTTTCTTCTTGCCTGTAATGGTAAAAGAACCAAATGATACAATACAAACCAATGTTTCTTATTAGAACAAGTTCACCCGCGTGACATTATATGAAAACCCAAATGTTTTCCGAAAGAGGTTTTTAAATAAATCATAGGTACTGCAATTGGTTTAAATTAACCAAAAACGACAAAACTCAAAAAGTTGCTAACAAAAGGTCGGTTCGGTTTTGTTGGACATTAGGGTTTTACTTGCGAGGAGCTTTCTTCTTGCCTGCAATGGCGACGCTCCTGCCCTTTAGAGTCCGTGCATTGGTCTTGGTCCTTTGTCCTCTGCAAGGCAATCCTAGTCTATGCCTACTCCCTCTGTAGCAATCTACGTCTATCAGTCTCTGGATTTCAGCGTTAACCCGCCTTTTCTGAGATCAAGAACACGAGAAACTGATTATGCCATGGTTCATCAGATGGGAAAGTTGAAATCTAAGAAAAAGATGATCAGAACTACAATATGGAACGGAGTTGGACTGTCCATTGAGATAATTATACTATCCTGACAACACAAACCTAAGGGTCTAAACAATATTATGTCAATCCACGGGCTTTATCCAGTTAAGAGATGAAATATATTCGGTGAAAACAACAAGAAAGCTTACTGCCATTGAAGAAGCTTTAATCATATACCCAAACCCGAGAGAAAAAAGAAAGAAGAAAGTGATCGGTTTATAATGTTTTTTTTACCAGTTCATCTCCGTGCTGGTGTCTGCTGACTTCTTCACGGAGGTCCATGACCTCTTTTCCAGTCAAGTCTCTAGCGAGTTTGTTCGATATTCCGAGCTCACAGAGGATCTGGTGAGATTTACGACGGCCGATTCCATAAACTTCTTGAAGACCGATTCCTAGAGGCTTATGGTTTGGAACCTCTGCATTACCCACACGGATTCCTTGGACACGTAAGCCATGGAACTGCAGACAATGAGCGAGTAAATATGATACGAACGGTTAGCTTCTATACACGGTGAAAGGGAAACAGAAGGAAGCAATGGTCGGTCCAACATTCGATTCAAAGATTAGCAATTACAAAGTTGGAAACTTTAAGCATTCACTCCCCTGAACAGATTCAAACCATAAACCCTAAACAACAATTCGAGATGAAAACTTGGTGACAATTCGAGATGCTCAAGTAAAATCAATCACCCAAATTGAGACAGTTCTTTTCCTCGGAGAAGAACAACAACGACTACAAAACCTAAACACAGATAGAGTGTAAGAACCCAATTACTGCAGTTGGAAGATCAAAAGAATCCTCATGAGCAAACAAATAAATGCATACACAATACTTTTGCTAGTTTCATAGATGAACACTACTCACAAAATCTTTCAAATCGAAAAAAAAACGGTTCCTTTCTCTGAATACCTCCACGATATTAGAATTATTCTCATCGAAATTCGATTAGAAACCTCAAAACAAAACAGATGTGGGGAAACACAAACGATTTGACGGAAACCTAGCAAATCAGAAACCCGTGTTCTATAAACCCTAATAATGTGTTCGGACGAACAGATTCAAACCATAAACCCTAAATCCGAGAACCGAATAAGAGACTGAAGCTCTGAAATCTCAGAAACCCTAAAATTGGTGGAGATTGAATATAAAAAAAAAAACATGGGAGAAATCGAAGGAAAGAGGAACTCACCGATAGATTGCGGAGGAGAGACTGCCCGATATCGAACAGCGTTCCGGAAGATTTGCGCAAACCCAACATCGTGGAGACGAATCAAGAGAAGGACTTAGCTCGAAGCTCAAAGGGTTTAAGCCTCTTCTTCTGTCTCTTATGTATATGTATTTATGTATGTAAATATATGTATGTACATGTTTATATGTATATATACATAAATGTGTATGAATTTTTAAAAAAATTGTATTGATGTTATATATGTAACAACTAACAAGGATTAAATAATATAATGGATTACAAAATTACCATCATTCAAAATAAAATTATGATATTTTTGCCCCACCATAGCCCCTTATGATTGATGGATCCCAAAACGAATGTAATTAAATTATTTTTGAAGAAACTGATTTGCCATCTTCTTTGGGCCTATTCTTCGCATAATAATAATTTTTTATTTAGTTTTGACTGAATTGAAACATAATTAAATTAACTTTTTTTTAAAAAAAATGGTTTTAATTCCATTTTATCGAACAAAAATATTTTTTGTTTCCATTTGCGACGAATTAAAGCTCACTCGATCGATTCTATTGGGTTCAAGAAACTATAATTGGGCTCACATTGGGCTCAAATAAAGTCTTTCATACGAACCAAGGAGGCCCACACAATATAAAGTAAGATTTGTATCTCTCTGTCTTTAATGTAAAATATACAGGGATTAATTAAGAAAATATTCACATTTTGACAATTTTACAAAATTAAATTAAAAAAATAAATGCTAAAATCCATGCTTCCTAAAATTACCCATTTAACAATGGAAATATCCTTTTTACACAAACAGCATGCGCAAATTTGACGTGTATATAAATATGTATGACCCCATAAGTGTTGTACGTGCTAGGAAACTTGTGTAGTCTTTCACTAATCTTACAGTCAAATCATCATGAATTCTTCCAAACCGGCCGGTTTAGCTTTTCTTATCGTTGCTGTTCTCTCCGTCCAATTCATCTGCCGTACCGGCAAGACTAAAATCCTAAATTATATTCCAACTTGGTTATAATTCGTTCGGATTCTTTCTCGGCGAAAATGAAATACGGTTTGAATTTGGCTCGATTCATTCTCCAATATATTTTTTTATATTCTGATGGAGTTAAAATGAGAGGTTACGATTTTGAGTTTTGGTTCCATTATATTATTGTTTGATACAATTATGTGTTACTGGGGTCGAATTCTGGTTTGATTTTGATTCGGTTTATTTCGGTTAAATAGAGACTAAATGTATGCATGTGTTTTTCCACAGGCGTATCGGGTGCAATTGTCGGGATATGCTACGGTCGTAACGGAGACAATCTCCCGTCACCGGCCGACACCGTGGCTCTCTACAAACGGATCAAAGTGGACGCAATCCGAATGTACGAACCATTCGCCGACATGTTCGAAGCTCTTCGTGGGTCGGGCCTTATGGTCGCTTTTGGGCCACGAAACGAAGAGCTTCAGGCCATGGCCCAAGACCCATCAGCGGCCCAAAACTTTGTGAACACGTGGATCGTACCTTACAAAAACGACATCGTTTTCAAGTGGATCACATTGGGCAACGAGATCATTCCGGGAGACATCGGTCCTTTTGTCCCCGGCGCGATGCGAAACGTCAACGTCGCGTTACAAAACGCCAATGTTTCAGGAATCGCGGTCACGACGGTTTTGGCCGCAGCCGCGCTGACGAACACTTACCCCCCGTCGGCGTCGCGGTTCGTCCCTGACGTGACCGAGATCATGACGGAGATCGCATCGATTCTCTCCGCGACGAACTCGCCTCTCATGGTGAACACTTACCCGTACTTCGCCTACGCCTCGGAGCCAGAGCGTATCTCGCTCGATTACGCGACGTTCGGGCCGAATGCACCGGAAGTGATCGACGGAGATCTGAGGTACCACTATCTGTTCGAATCGATGGTGGACGGATTCAACGCGGCGCTGGAGAAGATCGGAAGCGGAGGAGTTAGGGTTATGGTGGCGGAATCGGGATGGCCGACGAGAGGGAATCCGCCGTACACGAGCGTAGAGAACGCGAGGAATTACAACGTGGGGCTGTTGAGCTACGTGGTTCAGGCGAAGACGCCGAGAAGGCCGGAAACGGATATCGACACCTTCTTCTTCGAGATGTTCACCGAGGATCTGAAGCAAGGAGAGGCTGAGCAGAACTTCGGATTCTACACCCCTGACATGAATCCCGTCTACGAATTCTGGCCTCCTGCCGTCTAGATCTTTCTTTCTTTTTTCTCTTCTGCTTTCTTTTGTTTGCCAGTCGAGTAATTGAAATACGTATAATTTTAGTACTATTAGTCAAAAATTATTTTATGAGACTATGTTTTTATTAATTCCTGATTATTTATGTTAATGAATATTAAATAAAGTTGTTCAACGGTATTTATTTTATAATCATATTTAGAATCAATGGGCCTTTCACACTAAGGCCCAAAACTACATTAGATTAGGGCCCAATAATAAACCACTCGTATGAATTATATTATATATATATATATATATATATATATATATATATATATATATATATATTT